CAACAAAAGAAACCATCAATGAAACAAAAAGGCAAGCAACCGAATGGGAGAAGGTATTTGCAAACAACACCTCTGATACAGGGTTAGTATCCAAAATATATAAAGAACTCATACAACTCAACAACAAGAAATCCAATCAAAAAATGAGCAGAGAGCCTGAACAGACACTCCTCTTAAGGCATACAAATGGCCAACAGATATATGAAAAGGTGCTCAACTTCACTAGCTATTAGGGAAATACAAATCAAAACCACATGAGATACCACCTCACACCTGTTAGAATGGCTATCATCAACAAGACAAGTAATAACAAGTGTTGGAGAGGTTGTGGGAGAAAAGGAACCCTCATACACTGCTGATGGGAATGTAAATTGGTACAGTCACTATGGAAAAGAGATGAAAGTTCCTGAAAAAATTAAGAATAGGGTCACCATATGACCCAGACATCCCTCTTCTGGGTATCTACTCAAAGAAATTGAAACATTTATTCATAAAGATATATGTGCCCCAATGTTCACTGCAGCATTATTCATGGTGGCCAAGACATGGAAACACCTTACTGTCCTTCGATAGATGACTGGATAAAGATACACACACACACACACACACACACACACACACACACACACACACACACACACACACACACACACTGGAATGCTACTCAGCCATAAGATGAAATGCTGCCATTTGCGACAACATGAATGGAGCTTGAGATTATCATGCTAAGCAAAATAAGCCTGATGGAAAAAGTCAAGAACCATATGACTTCACTCAGTGGTGGGATATGAAACTGAAGGCAACCAACCAACAAACAAGGCAAACAAACAAAAACTCATAGACACAGACAACAGTATGGTTGTTACCAGAAGGAAAGGGAGGAGGGAGAGATAGAAGAGGGTAAAAGGGGTGAAATATATGGTGACAGAAGGAGACTTAACTTTGGATAGTGAACATACAATACAATATACAGTATTATAGAAATGTACACTCGAAACCTATATAATTTATCAACCAATATATTTAACAAAATTTTTTTAAAAAGATAAATCTATGTTTAGTGCCTGGAACACTTCAAGCATTCAATAAATGATAGTTATTAATATTCTTCTGGGTTTGCCAACTTCAATAATTAACATTTCATACATAACTCCTCGAATCATGTGATACCTCAAAATCTAGTTAAATAAAGGAATCACTGTCCATGGGCCCTAGTTATTCAAGTAGCCTTCAACCATTTGAGGTAACTAGACCAATCCTGTGCAGTTATTCAATGTAAAAAGAGAAGTTACACACCACATCTGATTCTGAGAGTCCTTGGATTTTTTGGAGCTCGACTAAGCACTGCCAGTTTTGATGAAGAGCTTTTCTATAGGGGAACCCCATCAGCCCATGCCCTTTTTAAATCCTCGTTGTCTTTGGACTACTACAGGGCCAAATAAGTTCCATCAGCATCAAAGCTGCAAAATCTTAGGGATCTGCTAATGTAGATGGGCAGGGGGCAAAACACAGAGGTGAAGACCCCTGGCAAAATCTAAACTCACTCCACAGAATGGAATATTATTCAGCAATAAAAAGAAATGAAGCACTGAAACATGCCACAACATGGATGAACCTTGAAAACACTGTGCTAAATAAAGCCAGCCACAAAAAACTTCGTATTGTACAATTCCATTTATATGAAATATCCAGAGTAGGTAAATGCATACAGAAAGCAGATCAGTGATTGACTAGGGCTTAAAGGGGTTGGGGTTGGGGAGTGACAGCTAATGGGTACGGTGTTTCTTTCAAGGAGGATGAAAATGTTCTAAAATTAGATTGTAATGATGGTTGCACAACCCTGTAAATATAATAAAAACCTCGAATTGTACACTTTACATGGGTAAATTGTGTGTGAATTATATCTCAATATAGTTATTTTAAAAATTTAACTCATTAACTGACTAGTGGGTCCTTTATCCTTCTTACCTAGAGAAATATCCTCTCCATTAAAAACTAAAAATAAGAGCTCAGCGTTAAAAGCTATAAAATATCTTGGCTTTGGAAGTATACTTATCTTGCCTTTGCATCTATCATCTCCGCTTTATTTCAGTATCAATCATTTCAGATAAACTCCAATGATTGCAAAATATCTATGCAAGGATAAATAAATGCAAATTTTATCTATGCTCAAACTAAATCATTCTTTATTGCTCCACAGCAATGACTGTTCTCTCTTTAGTACAAACTGACCACCTTTGTTAGCATCTTCTTTTGATTACTTGCCACAGCGACTTTCAAAAAACTGAAGCTCCACTTTCACAGGATTTCTTTGTTCTCCTAAGACATAGAGGAAGTATCGCATAACAATGACAGGCCAAACAGTCTTCCCTACTATATAAATTGGCTAAACCCATCTGCCAATCACTACAATTCACAGAGTGGGAATGTTATTAGAGCATACTTGGGAAGAGATGACCTCGCTTCGCTCTTGATTAGGAGATGGAGATAAAATAGAGTATGGGGCAAGGAAAGGATGGTAGTAAAAACCTAACTAGACTAAGGAATCTGTGGTCTGGAATGTTTTTACTGATTGCAGAGCATGCCTGTATTTCAGGGGTTTTCAAAGCTTTTGTTTAGAAGAACTTTTATCCGATCAACGTGCCAGTTTTTGTGGGAAAAGACAAAATTATGTGGACCCATAGTCCCTGACTATCAGATTCTGAAATCTGAGGAGGAAAAACGAAACATAGTCACATGAAGAGATTTAACAGTAACAAGAATAAAAATATACTATTAACACAACACAAATGACCATGTAATACTTAAAATATTTCATTGGTTATGGAGAGGAAGGCGGCAAACGAACATTAAGTACTAGGATGTAAGTAATGCTTCCCTAATACTGCCCGTTACTTGCTTTTATTCACAGTTGGCACATGATTAAGTAAGCAATTCTATAGGGGAAAAAATTTATTAGTACTATTTATACAGAAAATTAATTCTGGATTCTTAACTTTGGTTGAACAAATTATCTACATATTTTTAATCACAATTTAATCCTATTTATTCAAGTATCATCTCTGCTGGTTTGTTTTTCAAATGATTTCAGTTCACCTGTCTAACTGACACAAAGAACCTGTTAAAGATGAGCTACTCTTAATGTTCTTCGTTTTTCAAAGATTCCCTGAATTTGGAGAGATAAGGGAAGTATTTTTAAGATCCAGGCCACCACATACGAGCATATAAGTAATGTTACAAATAATTTGATCATTTCTTCTGCTTAAGTACTTAAAAAAGATAAATTTTCCAACAATCCAGGGTAAACTGAACTCAACATTACACTTTATGACACTATGATCCTCTCTGTTATATTCCAGTGTTCTAGTTCAAATTTCATTTCTAAATCTTTAAAACATTTCCCTTAATTAATCAAAAATCCTTCTTTGGGGGTCAAATCTTTTCAATACAAACATTACTTATGAAACGACAATGTCACATATTTGACTTTTACTATGGACTGTCCCATCCAAGTACTAACCAGGCCCGACCCTGGACTATGGACTCATATAGAGATGACTTGGACCATTTTAGTCATTAGCCACTATGGTCAATTTTAGATATATTTTTAAAAGCTATTAACATCAGTCTTTGTTACAAATTACACAACTTCATCTTGATATATGATTTCCTAAGACACTAGGGTCTTGTGTAACTATTTCGAAAGTCCACCAACAAGTTTTCCAAACCTCACAGCCAAGAACTTGGGCAAGCCAACTGTGAAATTATTATCTTAATTATAATCAAGTTGAGTACTTGCTTTTTCAAAGAATTTTTTTAAGAGATTTTAAAAAAATGATTACTATGTTAAGAGCCACTTCACATCGTGGACAGAGCTCTTACATATCCATTCCCACCTGAGAGTTTTCTTTATGTTCCTGCCCCAAATGGGTATTTAATTGTTTCTGAATGAACAAAGAATATGGAATATTATTTGTGTACCTTACTTGAACCTGTCTGAAAGCAACCCCTAACCACCCCAAAATTCAATAAAATGCTTGAAATGAACATTCAAATTATAAAGCAGCAGAATAATCACATCAGTGAACGACCACAGCATATATAACTTGGCTTTAAAAAAAAGTAAAAGAAACGAAAGATAAAAAGCAAAGAAAAGCAACAAAAAAAGCAGTAAAAGAAAACCAAGCGCAAAACTTCCCTGCAGGTAATTTTCTCAACTTCTCCAATCTGACCTTTTCTTCCATTTTAAAATCCTCCGACTGGATGGAACAAGATCCATTTGTTTAGCTTGCTCTTTGTGGGGATACTTTTTCCTACAAATATCCTTCTACAAAAAGTATTTCTGATTTTTACACGAAGAGTTACCGTTTTGCAGAAGCAAGAGTTCTTACTACTCATTAGGACTCCAACAATTTAGCGATGATTTAAAAAAAAAAAAAGACTTTGTAAATTACATTAAACTGGCTGAATCCAAGTAACTGGAGAGGTAAGTTTCCGCAGAGCAGGAAGACTTCGGAAATTCTATGTCCTCTTCCTTCAGCCTCACCCCAAGAAAGCGAACAGAATGCTTTTCATCCTTAGCACAGGGCCAGGATCCAAATCAAACGAAAATATTTTTAAAACACTCAGAAGGGGCGAACAAAGGTGGGTAGAGTGTGACTGACTGAGAAGGCAACAGAGACTGACTCCGGGCCATGAACCTGGAATGGCTTAGGGATACAGGCCCCAGAGAGTTCGAGCCGGATTTCTTCTTTAGATTCACTGAGTTGGGCCAGCAAAGTATTTAGCATTTAGAAACTACAAGTCTAGGCAAGCCAGAGATAGCTAAGGGGCCAGGCGGGCACGCGGGACGCAGGCGCCTCAGGAAGGAAGAGAGGGAGAAGCTGGGGCGGGGAAGGCCATGCGCTGGGCCCGGAACTGGTCAGCGCAGGCCAGGCCGGGCCCAAGCCGCGCGACCCGCTGCCGGAGCGAGGGGACAGGCGGCGCTGGATCCGACTCACCTGCCCATTCACCGAGCCCTGGTCCGACCCCAGGCTCGTGACCCATGCCCCAGACACGAAGAGCAGTGAAGAGCGAGTACGAGATGCGCAGAGCCAGGTAGGCCACGGTGCCCGCGCCCACCCAGTACAGGAAGCCGGCGGCAGGGAGAGCGCTCTCCATGGCTTTCAACCAGGCCTCACTACTTTCGTGAATGAAAAAAAAACTAATGAATGAATCCTGCAAGAGGCGCCGGCCGTGACAGTGAGGACAACTCTAATAGGTGCTGCTCCGGTACCGCTTTGGGCCTAAACCCCGCCCACAGCGCCATATCCGTGCCGCCATTGGTGATCTATCTTTTCCTGCGCGTAGTGAGTGAGCCATTGGCTGACTCAGTTTCACTGCCCCGCCCCCCCGCCCCCCCTTGTGCGCACCCGGCCTTGTTTCCGTTCTAGGAAGACTGATTGCTCACCTGCCAATCAAGATGAAGCCCCGCCTAACACGTGACCACGCCCTTAGGATTTTGACAGGACGGTACGTCTCACCCGGAAGACTGCACTCCAATTGGCTAATAAGACCCATCCTGGTTTGAGCTCGGGTTAGAAAAGGGAATAGGATCAGAGAAGCCACTAGAGAATGGCAAGATTGTAATAGTAAGAAGTGGGCGTGGAGCTATGGTTTTATTTTCACCACTTTATTAAATACTTGTATATCATTGTTAGATATGCTTTTATTGTTCCCATGAGCTTTTCCGGATAAAGTCTTCCATCTCCTCCCACAGCACTCCTTCACTCCAGTTATACTCACTTATTGTTTAACCAACTTAGTTCCCAAAGTCTTGGAGTTCAAAGCAAATGACTTCATGGAGATGAGTAACTAATACACAATGGCATAAGATATGTACGATGAATGAAAAATACATGAACGCAGCTCGATGAAGAATTAGTTTTGGGAAGGGACGCCATGTTTTAACTGGGCCTTAAAGGATAACAGATTTTTTTCTTTTACTTGCTTTTTTTATTTCCTTTTTTTGTTGGGGGCAGGGGTGAGTGAGATGAGAGGAGGCATAAAAGTGTGCAGCCTAAGTAGAAGTATGGGAACTACTTCAGCAAAGCTCCAGAGGAGTAAGACCCCTTGGTAAGTTTAAGAAATTGTGCAATGCAATACAATGCGTTGCACTTATTCTCTCAAGAGTTTCCTTTTCTGGCATGGATTTGGGCTCATATAAAGTACCTAATTTTTATCTTTATCTCTTGCTGCCCAACCCCCTACTCTTTCTCCACTCTCTTTTGAGGAAATAGAGCGAAGAAATAAAATGGAGTCACTACAGTCAAGATGCCAAATTACTAAAATCAAGTAGGTTGAGGTATGAAGAAACAATTCTATTCCTACATCAACTCAGATGTAAAATAAAAATAAACATCTCAAACTTAACATTTTCAAAACAGAACTCTACCAGCACAACACACACACACACCTCTCTTCTTCCCATCTCTGTGAAAGGCACCACTATTTACCCACTTTCTAAATCCTAAAACCTAGGGGTCAGCCTTGGCTCTTTTCTTTCCAGTACATTCCCATGTTCAATCCTTCAGCAAGCCTTGTTCACTCTACCTCCAAAATATATCTTGATCAACCACTTCTCCCCACTTCTGCTACTACCAACCTCATCCAAACCACAAGCATTTCCTGAGTGGAGTATGCCTGTCTTGGGAATAACTCTCCAGGAAGCAACAAGTGTTTATTCTTTAAGTAAATTAGATATTATTTCTTCTGCTCAAATCTGTTAAGGACGTTATATTACATTAAGAAGAAAGTCCTCCAAGGCTAGTTTACCTGCCCTGATCTCTCCAGCAGCATCAACCACCCTCTCCTGTGCTCACTTGATTGTAGCCACACTTCTTGCAGTTCCCCAAATAAGTCAAGTTTATTCCAGTTTCAAAGCAGTTCTGCTTCCTGTTTCCTCTCCCTGGAACCCCTTGCCCTCTATTTCCCAAGGCTCACTCCTTTAAATTATGTCGGCTTTTGCTCACACATTCTCCCCCTTCAGCAGTTTTCTCTGACTGCCCGACACAGATATCCCAAATAGCCTCCTGCTTTGCCCTGTCACTACTTATCCTTTCCCCCTAATTTGTTTTTCTTATGACATTTAATGCTTTCAAAACAGTTATTTGGTTTTCGTCCATCTTCCCAATAGAATGTAAGTTCCTGAGGCCAGTGACCTTTCCTTGTTCATCACTGTATCTTCACCTAAGATGTGCACCTAAGACTACCTGACACTTAGTAGGTATGCAATAAATACCTACTGTTGGATGAATGAATGAAAACAATCTAATGGGAGAGAGAGCCATCCAACTAATGATATGACAAAAATTGTAATAAGTACAAAGAAGAAAACAATAGAGCTTAAGAAGATAAAGGGAGAATCTAATTGGATGGGAAGAGACCCCTAAAAGGCCTTTCTAAGGAGTTGGCATTTGAGCTGGGATCTAAGACTCAGTAGGAATTAATCTGGCAAAGAGTAGGGTAGGATTCAGGAGAGGAGAGAGCAACAAGTACTCATTAACGGTTTTGTTTTGGTTTTCAAAAATACACATATGTGCCTCTAGCACCTACAGCATCTGACATAAAATCAAATAGCATAAAAAATAATTGTTGATTTTGATTTCTTTTAATAAATAAGGACAGCTACCCTAGAAATGGACTTTCCATTGCTGTTAGAATTCATATCAAATATGTTATTTTAACTGAAGAAATACTGAAAATTAAACGACATCATTTTGGTATACATTCTTTTTCTATAAAGTTTGGGTACCACCTATGCAATTAACAGGAATAATCCTTATTAAAAATGCGTGCTTTTATTCTGATCGCCTCAGCCTTATTTTAGGAATAATCATTATTCTATTGACTAAAAGAAAATAATGACTTCACAGAGTGAAGTGGTATGAACCAGAGTTAAGCTTTTGGGGGTTCAGATACTTACACACTTCTGGAATTGACCAACAAGTCTTTGTCTCTGGTTAAATTTTATGAACCATTGAAACATCTAATGCATACAAGAACCTGTAAATGATGGCCCACTCCTATTCAGCATTATTCTGTGCTAAAATTTAACATAGAGACCAGGATTCCTACAAATTGACAGAGCCATACTAACCAAACACATGAAACTATAACTAGCTCTCCAAAGAGGAAGCAATTACTATAAAACTTTCGGCTTTGGTGTAAATCTGGTACCAGATCCCAGTTCTACCTCTTATTAGCTGTGTGATCTCGTGTGGTTTTAGCTACTGAACATTCAAATTCTACATCTGTAAGATGGGACATTATTAAGCATTTAGCAATGATTGGCAGATAGATATCAAGTGTTCAGCAAGTTGGGTACTACTCTTATCCCCATTTTAAAGATGAAGAAACTGAGGCTTAAACCATTTAACTAACTTCCTATAGACACATACAGAATAGGAAGCAGAATTGAGATTCCAACTAAAAAGGTGTGGTGATGACATGATATCTCAAGAACAAGCCCAAAGAAGGCAGCATAAAAATGTTAAGGGAGAGTTGAAGAGTCTCTAGAAATATCTGCTTGTTACACAAATAACATACTCAGAAACAACCATGTTGGATTTCAGTCTCATTTATTTAAAAGATTTAGAGCTCAGAATAGTCTTGAATATGGAAAAATTCAAATCAACAATATTGTATCATATTAGTATATAAATGTTCCCATTTAATTTTAAATTCATTTTCAGTACTTCTATAAATGGACTTTTAGATCATATTTTCATGATGAAATCAGGAGTACTTCAATGTAATGAAAGAAAATTCCATAATTAGGGAATTTCACAGAAGTGAAGAATTTTTAAGAATACCAGCATAACACAGCTGAATCCTTCATTTGGCTGTACAATAAAACTTACATATTTTTAACAGTTTGGTCTTCTTCCATCTCATCTTCATTTAAACATAGCTCAAAATATTGCACTTCTTTAAGTTCAGTTGAGAAGGTGTTCAATCCTGGGTTTAAAAAAAAAAATAGAGGAACAAACCCATTTAAAATAAACTGAAATGTTTGGCATTCGAAATTGTGAGGTTTCCAAAAAGTTAATATTTAGTTTCTTTAACAATGTTACCATAAAAATGAACATTAACATTTATTATGCTTCGATATTGCAAAATCATTTTCAAAGTGACTTCACATGTATTATCCCATTCAAACATCACAATAACACCCCCTGTTTTCCAACAAGGAAACAAACTCTTTAAGAAGAACTTCTTGCTTCAGAACCACTCTGGTGCAGCAGGCCTCGTTTTTAAAACCAAGGTATCTGCACTAAAAATCCAGGGCTCTTTCTACTTTATAAGAGAACTTAAGCTCATATTTCACAGAACCTTCTGCAAACATATAAAATTAAAACCAGTCATTTTGAAACAACTGATTTAAAAATATAATTTTAATATTTTATTTTTTATTTGCAAAAGCTCACAGAACTATATACAATGAAAAAGTATCCCACCCCATTTCCTATTCCCATTAATCACACCTGGCAATTTGGAGTACGTTCTCCAACTTATTTTTCTGTGTAAGTAGAAAACTATATGATGTGTACAACATACCTGCACATACTTTTTTAAAAATAAAAGTGGTGATCATACGAACATAAGCCAACAACTTTGTCTCTCCTACCAATATACCATTAAAAATACCATAGTGAAATCTTGATATATCAATATTATATATTAGCTGGATTTCTTTATTGCACCGGATGATGTAATAATCATGCCAATGACCTTACCCAAAATCCTCTCTTAAAATAAGAAAGTACCATTGTAAACAAACAAATTTGAAACTAGGTATAAGGGAAAGTAAACTGATATTTTGGCAACATCGTACTTCTAGCCAAAAACAACAAAACTTTAGGATGGTTATGCAAACTTAAAGTAAATAATAAAGGGGAATTTCAGAAGTTTTCCCTCACCTGAATGCTTACGTTAGCAATGGACTCAAGATTTGCTATCTTTACTCATATTTGTTTCCTAAAATTTCCAGCTAGTTTAATTTCTATTGCTTTTGCCTAGTTCTTTTCTTTCTTACCTTTATTATGTCTGAAAGTATATGTGATACATAAAAAAGATTATATAAAATACATAAGTTTGTTATAGTTACATGATGCAAGGAAAAACTGTCAACTCACCACCCAACTCAAGAAACAAAACCCAAGAACCTAACCGACCCCAACCTCTGGAGGGGGATGTTATGTATTGTTCTACTGCTAAATGTTATGTATCATTGCTAAATATTATGTATCATTCCACTGCTTTTAAATATATAAAGTACATATAGTATATAAATACTCTACATATATATTAAGTACATATGTAATCACAAATGTGTATGAAATAATAATA